TTTTTTTTTTTTTTTTAGAGGAAAACCGGGTAAGTAAGCAAAAATTGGGAGCACGGGTGAGTGATCTTTCCCTTTGCTGCGGATTTCTCCGGCCCCTGCTTTACGACTCATCTCGAGGAAGGCAGAACACCTTGTTCCAAACTTGCGAACAGACTTTCTCGGGGGTTTTTTAGCGGCGCTTGTCAGCGCTTGCTATTTACAGCTCGTAACCCCCCCCTCTCCCCCAAGACGACGGATTTATCGCTGGGGATGGGAAAAATGAGGGAAGCTGGAGGGTGGTTGATGGGTGAGCCAGGGCCTCGGCAGCGTGGATGGGGCTGGAGAGGTGTCCTGGTCCCGTAAACGACGTTTCCGTCTCTGTGTGTCCCAGAGGCACAAAAAAAGCCTGGTGGTCATTAAAAAAAAAAAATCCAACACCCCCATAAACACATTTTTCAGGACCTAAAAAGTGCCTCCGGCGATGCTGGGAGATGCACCACCCCGGCAGGTATTCCTTCCTCCGCTGTCCCTTCCCTCCCTCCGCCCTCCTCCCCTGGTCCCCCCAGGGCTGGGTGTCTCCTGTCCCTAAGGACGATGTTCCTGTGATGTCCTCATGGTCACCTGGAGCTCAGGATGGGATTTTGGGAAGACCCATGCGTTTCATCGCCTCTCGGCATGGTAGGAGCTGGTTCTCAGGCTGCTGGTGTTGAGCATCTCGCAAGCGGAGGAGATGTTTTGAAGCACGCACCCCATCTCTAAAGTGTCCTGTTGTGCCCGTCACCCTTGCTTCTAGGCCTGGTGGTACCAAGGGAACTGCTGACAGGACCCCAAGGCTGAGCAGGACATATTTAGGCCCAAAGAGCAAAATTTCATGAGCTCCGTGGGCCTCCTGCCCTTAAATCCACCCAAAATTCATGATTCCACCATCGGGGTGTCCTGGGGTTGCTGGATGTCACCCCTAGAGCCCACACTGTCCCTGCAGCTACCACTGGCCTTTTTGGGACCTGCTTATAGTTTTCCCCTCCAAGCTGTATTGGGGTTAAATTGTGGCCAGCCACCTCGTCCCATGGGTGCTCTCCAGGCATGGGGTGGTGTGACCGAGCAGATCTCCTCCCTGGAGCCGGAATTGCTCCAAATCTGAATATTTTGCGCCCTCTCCTGGGTCCGGGTGGCGTGGCCCGTCGGCTCCCACCCTATCACCCTTCCTTTTGTTTGGGAAGGCTTGGGGGCACCAGACTGGGGTTGTCCCACTAGCCACTACTCTCGCAGCTCCCAGTGTTTTGCCCTTCCATTGCGGAACCCCAAAAATACGTCGGAGGAGATTTCAGCACAGGCGAGCTCCAGCCAAGGGAAACCTCGGGGCTGGTTCCACCTCCTCCATCACTGTCTGGGCTCCAACCCAAAGCTGTTGGCACCATTCGTGGCCCTCCCCACCAAGACACGGCCACTGCAGAATTCCTCTCCATTCAAGCCCACCTCGATGCTGAGATCTTTGAGCACCATCCAAGAGCTAACGACCACCCTGGGCACCTTCCTCATCCTCGCGACAGCAAGAGGCCACATTGGGACCACCAACCCTGGATGCTGGCAAGGTCCTTGGGTGGCTGGGTACCCAAGGAAGATGCCACGTTCTTGTGGCGAGCAAGTTGGGATAAAGCCGCTCGCTTGGCCGGCTGCAGGAGGGACGCTTATCTCCGGAGATTCGAAGGAAATTGCTTAAATCAACTCAGATGTGATTATTACGCACAGAAAAACTGCGAGAAACGCCTGGAAACAGTTCTCCCTATATATATATGCACCTGTATACGATATATCCATACATACACCGTATAGATACATAGAGTGTATCCAGGGTGGACAATATCTGCGCCACGTAGCGTGTGCTGGGCTACGAACCTTCTCCTGCTTGGATGCATTATACGTATGTATGTATGGTGGGTGTATAGACGTGTACATATCCACCCGAAAAAGGGGGGGGGAAGGTTATTCTATACGTCTTATGTGTTAAAGAAGACTCACAGAGCGATTAGTGGTAGGAGAGATCTTTGTGGGGAGCAAAGATCAAGCCCCGACCCAACGTGGGGGCGGTGGAGTGGTCAAGCCAACGGTGGGACGTGCAGTGACACGGCTGAGGACACCGAGTAGCTCGGTGGAGTGGGTTTCCCGAATCCCAGCATCGTGTCTGGGTGTGGCAGCTCTGGTTTTGGTGGATCCTGGTTAGGAGGTGACAGCAGGGTGCTGAGGATGCCAGGATGGGCAAGATTTGGGGAGCTGGGATAAGCAGGCAGCTAGACCCAGATAATGCTTAAGGTGCCCAGGCAGGTGACAACACTGCTGGCTTGTGTCTAACTCAGCCCATGGTCATCGCTTGGGTTGGAAATCCAACATGGGTGTCCTAGTTGCCCTTATGTCCCCTTTCCCAGTTCCCAGCCTGGTCAGGGATGCTCTCTCATGACTTTGTAGCATCAGTGGTACTAATGAGCTCACGTCTCTTACTGGTCTGGCCCCATCCTGGGGACTGGGAGACAGGAATGTCCCAGTGCTACCCCAAAAAATGTCTTGAGCTGGAGAAACACGCAACCTCATGTTCCCCAGGCAGGTACGAGCTGAGCCAAACCCTCCCCAGCCTTCGCACGGCCCCATCAGGGAAGCTTTAAACAAGAAGGGGGAGAAATCATCCCCCAGCAGCTCGCCCTGAG